ACATAAATAATATTACATTTTAAAACTATGTCAATATGTAGTCCACAGGGATCCTTATATGTAGTTTAGTGGCCTCCATTTCAATTAGAGTTTGATACCAGTGCTCCACACTGCTGCCAGAGTCATCTGCCTAAAGCCTATCCGACCACGTCACCTCACCCCTACCCCCACCCCACCCTGACCAACTCCTACTCAAGAAATTCCAATGGTTCTCTATTACCAGTAAGATTATATATAAACTCTGCTGTTTTGGAACTTAAAGGTCTTCACAGTCTGGCTGGCCCCTTGCTGTCTTTCCAGTCTTTGAAGTCATTAACTTTTTACTCTACAAACCCCATAGTCCAGCCACATGGGCCTATGTGCTATTCCTCCCATCTCCTATTTCTATGCCTTTGCCCTGGCTGTGGCCCCTGCTAGAAATGATCTATTTTCTAACCTCTGATTCTTAGATTCCTTAGCTTTCTTTAAGACTCAGTTCACGTGCCACCTCCTCCAGGAAGACTTTTCTGGTCTCAAGCTACTAGTGACCTCTGTGCTTTAAAGCTACCTTCCATCTACTCTGTCTTATATGCACTGATTTGTATATGATGTCTCCCCCATTATAATGTAAGCTTCATGAGAGCAGGGACTGTTTTTGCTTTTTCTTTGTATCCCCAGCACTTAGCACTCTTGCCCCAACACACAGTAAACATTTAATAAATACTTGTTGGGTAATAGTCTCAGTTATCTTTCCACTTTGCTATGCTAACTGTCACACAGATAACACCCATTTGATAAAAAACCTTGTTAACAATTTATATATTGCCTTAAGTTTTACAAAGCACTCTATATAACATTATCTCATTTGATCTTCATAACAACTCTGAGAACCAGGCATTATAGGTATCAATGTCCCCATCTTACAGATGAGGAAATGAAGGTTCAGAGGAGTTGTGACTTGCCAGCAGTCACAAGGTTAGTGTCAAAGGCAGGATTGGAACCCAGTTCTTTGCTGATTCCAAGTCAAGCACTCTGCTTATTAGACTACACCATTTGATAAGCACAGTAAATCCCTAAAAGAGCTCTATTTGAGGTCTAAGAAGAAAAGAATTGCTAGCCACCAGTGGGGTTCAGGGAAAATTTCAAAGAAAAGTTGGATTGTGATTTCAACAGAGGGAGGTAAGAGAAGAGGGGCAGGGGTAGAGAAGGCCGTGAACATAGGCATGGAGGCAGGACAGCACAAGGAGACTGAGCTAGAGAGTAACTTACATAGAAGTTAAAGAAAGCAAGGGTAGAAAAAATAGACTGGTGCCAGTTTATGGAGAACATTGAGTGGGAGGCCAAGCAGATTCTATTCTATTCGTGTAGGGAGTCACTGATAGATTTTGAGGAGGAATGATAGCATTAGATTTGTCCATAAGTTAACCTGACAGCCCCAGTAGATTGATGGGAGGGAGAAGGAGCAGGACAGGAGGAAGAGTTGAAATGGGAAGATCTGTAAGGAAGCTATTGTTATCAGCCAGTTGGGAGGTAATGAGGGACTAAGGTAGTGGTAGTGAATAGAAAGTAGAGAAGCAAGAGAGATTATAGCCTTTTGGAATTAGTTTGGAGATCTGCTTACTTCAAAGTTAAGAAAACATATGTGTTATGGACCTTCCTGGAAATTTTTGCTTAGGGACCCAAACCTTCTGTATATTCTGCTACATGGGACAATGTGTCAAGAGTTATTGCATATCCTCCATGTGGAGAGTCCTATAAAAGCCATTCTGGGGAAACAAGGTTCCTTTCTATAGAGAGTTCCCAGCCTGAGGGGGAAAAGGTTCATAAGCAGAAAACAGATGTAAGACAACGTAGCAAGCAACATGGAAGTGACCTCAAATGAATATTGTCCAACAGAGCAATTAAATGATAAAGGGAGAAAGAATAAAGATATGATCTGGAGTCAAAGGGCTTCAATTAAAATCCTGGCTGTGGCACTTATCACCTGTGTGACACTGGTTAAATAATAGCCTTTCTGGGCCTATCTCCTTATCTGAAAAGTGGGGGGGAGGGTGTGGATTACATGACTCTATGGTTATCTAGTGATCATCTATGGTCCCTTTAAGCTCTAAGTCAGCTCTATGGCTACGAGTAGGATGAGGGTCTTGGGAAGGAGGTTTTCAGATTGGTTTGAAAGGGAACAGATCCATGGTTTGATGGAAAAGAGAGGAAGAATAGGATCATAAAAGCATAGATTTCAAGATGGAAATTATATTACAGGACATCTAATTCACCACCTTAGGTCAGAAATGAGGAACTGGGGTCCAGAGAATGTAAGTGACTTGCCCAAAGTCTTGCTGGTTGTAAGTAGTAGAGTTAAGATTCAAACCCAGGTCCTCTGACCCCAAATCCCCCTCTTTCCATTGTTCCAAAGTTCTTCTATTTAGCTGCCAAGCCTAATGATTCATCTTAGACCTGCTAAAGGGTTGGTAGCTCGGGGTGAGTCTGACCTTGTGCTGTGGTAAAGAGTGGGCTCCAGGACAGGGACCTCATCAGAGTCCCCATTCTTTTGAAATGTTAAGTAAATAATAAACACCTCTGGTCCAGGGACAGAGGGGCTTAGGGAGCTAAGTATAGTGTACTGAGGAATCCCAGGGGCTGGGCCCCCACAGTCATTTATCTCTATAGTGGAAAATTAGCTTGACATGAGGGAACATGGAAACTTGAGTTTCAGTGGGGGAAGGGAGGGCATGGTTTCTACAGGGGGTTATTTAGCTTTCACCCCAGTCTTTGGCATCCATGGCTCATCCCTTAGGTCATCAGTATCTGGGAGCACCAAAGTTTTCCCTGCAGGTTTGCCAGTGGTTTGAGTAATTGCTACTTCAAATTAGGTCACAATAGGATCATGGATTTCAAACTGGAAAGGACCTTAGAGGTCATCTTAGTTCAACCCCCTCATTGTACAAAGGAAGAAACTGAGGCCCAGATACAAATGACTTGTCCACTAATGAGTGATAATTAGTTATCGGCAATGCTGGTACTTGAACCCAGATTCCAAGACTCTCTCCATACTACTGCTTGAAGTCTAAACAATTTAGCCCTTAATTAGATGCTGTCTCATATTGTTCTGTTTCGTGTATGTCTTATCTTCCTTGATTAGATTATAAGCTCCTTGAAGGTAGGAACTGTTTTTCATTCTTCTTTTGCATCCTCCATTGCATCTAGCACAGTTCTGGACATACTGTAGGCACTTCCTCAATAAATATTTTATTAGAGAGGTAGCTGTTTGACTTTGGATAAGTCACTCACAAGGTTGTTAAAAAGTGCAAGTGAGATCAAGTATATTGTCAAGGAATTCTCTTGACTGGGAAGAATGGAACCTCTTAGGAGAGGTGTACCAGTAAATGGAGGATGTAATGATTATGAGTCAAATATAGGAAGTCAAATTAGAAACAAAGAAATTTATTAGCATGCTAAGGAAGGCTACTCTCACTAAAAGAAGCTTCTTAGGTTATAGATCTGGTTTTTATAACCTTTTAGGTCTGCTTAGAGTACACAATCAGCAGCATTTTGTGGCAACTAAGGATAGATTAGAAAAGCATTTCACATAAGGAGAAGTAGAGTAGGGGGGATCAGTTAAGGGAGAAAAGCAAAATCATTGTAATGCAACCAGCAAGATTTATTATAAAAAATATTCTCTGTTCAAGGGAAGGAGACAAGGGGAAGTGACCAAGTACTCTTACAATTGTGAAAGAAGTCCTTTTAGGAAAAAAAAAACTGCAGGATCTCCTATCTAAGGATAAAAAGTAGTTGTTACAACAGTAAATGAGACCATCCACTTTACTGTATCCTTTCTAGTTTATTATATTTCATTTCTCCTTCAGTAGGAGTTAGGAACTTCATAATATTTGGCCACCAGATAGTTCAAGGATTAGTCCATCAAGATATTGCAAAATAACTGTAGTTCCTATTTCCCACCATGATGTAAAGAGTTAAGGTATTTGGATGCAAGGTATTATTTCTATTTTTCATAATAATTAGTAATTATTAATAACAATGATGATGATAACAGAGTTGAATGTTGACTACTTCTGTCCACCAAAGTGATTAAGTAACAGTGATTAGGATAAAAGCAAGGAAAAGGGAAAGATAGGTAAGGAGAATTCTTGCAAGTTTATCTGCAAGACTCATCAAAAGTCACCTCATTTTCTTCTACACCATGTTTAAAAAGAAATGACTGTGGTGGAAGAAGAATGGAGTTCGAAGTGAAAATGGACAATTTACCTGAGGCTTTTGGTAAATGGATGTAAGAGGAGATGGATAAATGAACACTAGTAAGGTAAGAAGAAAATGTAGTTTTGTGAATTCCATACTTATTATATGCCCAGAATTCACCACCTAGAGTCAAGAGAAAATTAGGAATTAGCCCCAGATGGCTTTGGATGGGAGGTTTGTATGGGAGTTTGGTCTGTTTTCTTAGTGGGATAAAACTGTGTACAAACTACACTCATCTCAGCCCCTCATGCTGGGGTCACTCTTGTTGCTTTTCTCATTTGTTGGCGTTTTAGTGAGGGCAGGAATGTGTCCCATTAGTAGGGAATCTGCTGAAAGCTGGGAGGCAGCTTAGATTAGTGAATGGGGTGCTGAGGTCAGAAGGCCTGTATTTGAGTCCAGGATTTGACACACGTAAGTTGTGTAATGTCTGTGCCTCAGTTCAGTCACCTGTAAAATCATAGTTTAATATTTATACTACCCACCTCACAGGGTTGGTATGAGGAAATTGTCTTGCAAACCTTTAAAAAAAATACTGCATAAATGTGCAATTTTATAGTTTCTTTGTCTAATTTGAGGAGTTGTAACATAATATCTCAAGTTTCTTCCAATTCTGAAATCCTATAATTCTTGATTTTTTTGGCCAGGGGGTGCGATGCTGGTTAGCCAGGCTCTCCATGGTATTGATCTTTAGCTGGCTATTCTTCGAAACAAAAATCTCACCCAATGGCCCACCTCATCTCTTTTTCCCCTCTTTTCCCCACCTTTAGGGAACGACTTCCTGTCAATTTCTTTAAGTTTCAATTCAGGAATGTGGAGTACAGCTCTGGGCGGAACAAGACCTTCCTGTGCTATGTGGTGGAAGTCCAGGGCAAGGACGGCCCAGGCCAGATGTCCCGGGGTTACCTGGAGGATGAGCATGCGGCAGCCCATGCAGAAGACGCCTTCTTCAAAACCATCGTGCCCACCTTTGACCCTGCCCTTCGCTACAACGTCACTTGGTATGTCTCCTCCAGCCCCTGCGCAGCCTGTGCTGACCGCATCTCGAGCACTCTGAGCAAAAACAAGAATCTTAGGATGCTCCTCCTGGTGGGTCGTCTCTTCATGTGGGAGGATCCTGAGATCAAGGCTGCCTTGAAGAGGTTGAAGGAAGCGGGATGCAAGCTACGCATCATGAAGCCCCAGGACTTCGAATACGTGTGGCAGAATTTTGTGGAGCAAGAAGAGGGAGAGTCGAAGGCCTTTGTACCCTGGGAGGACATTCAAGAGAACTTCCTTTACTATGAGGAGAAGCTGGCTGAGGTCCTGCACTGAACTGCCTTCACATGTAAGTCTGCCTTCTCCCTTAAGCCTCATCTGGGCCAGGGCTTGGGGAATAGGAACCCATAACCTAGTCCCCTACGACCTTTCCAGTCTCCTTCTTGTACCTCATCCCCCAATGTGTACTCTTCAGTCCAGTAGCACTGGCCTCCTGGCTGTTCCACACATAAGACACTCCATCTCTTAGCTCTGGCCATTCTCTCTGGCTGTCCCCCACACCTGGAATGATTTCCATCTTTCACTCTGACTACCGAACTCCTTGACTTCCTGTAAGTCCCAACTAAAATCCCACCTTCTACAGGAAGTCTTCCTCAACCTTTCTTAATCCTAGTGCCTTCCCCTCTGTTAATTATTTCATTATTATTATACATCATAATATTATTTCCGATTTATAGCTTGCTTTGAATATATTTGTTTGCACGTTGTTTCCCCTATTGGATTTTAATCTCCTTGAGGTCAGGGACTGTCTTCTACCTCTTTTTGTATGCCCAGCACTTAGCACAGAGTCAGGAACATACAAGAAGCTTAACAAATGTTTTTTGAATGAATGAACAGGTAGGAAGGGAGCTCCAGTTGTCCTATGGAGGGCTTTAACTAGGGCACAACTAGTCCTGATGGTATTGGTATGCCTTGGTTGATTTGTGCAAACTGGTCTCATCCCACTATATCTACATATCTTGGTTCCCTTCTCTAAGGACACAATTTCCTCCTCTGTAAATTAGGGGATAGGATTAGATAACCTCTAAGATCTCTTCCATGTCTAAATCTATGATCTCATAATCAAAATAATTTCCCCACACCCCAGGAGATATAGCTGAAGTTGGCTAGGGATCCTAGAGTTGGGACCCAAAGCCCTGGTAGGGTGGGAAGTGCATTTTCTATGGCCAAAAAAAAAAAAAGGGAGGGGGGATATGAGGGCTGAATTTTGTTATTAGAGCAAACATCAGAGAAGGCATTTAAATCCACAGATTACCTTTTTTGTCTCATGTCTATTAAAAACCTGAACCCTTCAAAAGCACACTGCTGCTGCTACCCTTTCATTATTCTTACTTCTCTTTAGCAGGTTTCTCTCCCTTCGAGGAATAATGTTTTAATTTCTAAATAATTTTTCAAGTCCCACAAGAGGTTTGACTTTAATATTTCTTTGGCTTTGGTGTTTCTACACAAACAATTATAAAATTATTTTAAAGGAGATTTATGAATGGCATTTAGATGTATAATGCAAGAATCATTTACTTTTTGTCAAGAAACACCTCAGTAAAAGCCCATGAAAAGGTGCTGAAAGAAAAGGAGCTTGGGATGGCAATAAGCTATGCTCTGCAGGAAATGTGGTTGGTTAAGATGACGTGTTTATCAAACTAGTTGCAGCATCAAGTCAGACCCCTACAGTTGTCAAGAAGAGATTAAAAAAAACTGGAAGAGTAGTTGTGATAGGGAGGATTAGCTATTTAAACAGCCAATTAGGACACAATTAAGGCCAACTTGGCCTCTTGCTGAGGGTGAATTAGATCCTTAACAAAAACAGACTGAGTGCCCTCTGGGAGATTAATGGATCCTTTTCTACACATTTCTGGGTTTGTTCTGCTCTAATTTTCAACCTTAGGAATTCGATGTAATATTCACTGAATCCCTTTGCCAGGCTCTGGGTGGGTGGTCACAATCATCCAACCATTGAGAAAAGGCCTTGGAAGACATCCTGACTTTTATATTACTTTACCTTAGGTATTTATCAGCAGTTCTTTCCCCTATGTCATTCTTCATGTTAGTTTGAGATGTTTTAGGATGCTATCAGTGAGGATGTTTCAGTGTCCAAGATCCAGTGTTTTCTGTGTACCTGATACATACCTTAATGGTAAAATACTCTTTCAAATGATATTTTTAAAAAATCTTGAAACTGCTTAAATTTAGTGGGAAATGCAAATGGAGAGGGATCTGGCCACTAAATAAAATGTTTAAAGGCCTTTAGAAAACTAGGAGAGGGTTTTCAAATTGAGCTGTATTGAATCCACAGCCTGGGGTTTCTACCCTGCTCTCCTCACCAGAAATTGGACCCTTTTACTTGATTTTAAGTTTAAAGCAATTCTCCGGTTTTAGATGGTGCCTTTGACTTCACCATCCAAGTAATTAGAAAAATAAATCCTGAGCCCAGGTGGTCAAGTGGCAATATGTAGGTGGCTGAAGAGTTTGGGAAAGGACAAGTTGGCAGAGTGCTCATAGGATCCCAGTTTGAGATCTTGAAGAGACCCTAGTCCAATCCCCTTTCAAAGATGAAGAAATTGAGATTCTGAGAAGTTAAATGACTTGTCCTGGGTCACACAGCTAGTAAAGTGGCTGAGGCCAAGCCCAGCACCCTATCCACTATACCATGCTGCCCCATTGTTGGGCCTTTTAAAAATATGCTTAGCCAGAAAGTTATTGGTATATGCCTCTGTAAGTATGACAGTGCACACATGGATTATTTATAACAATTTTTAAAACCCTGCTTGTTTTTGCCTTTATCATTCTACAGTTTCTTGGACCTCCTGAGGTCCAATTATTATATGTTCAGGGAATACATGCTAATTTTTTTTTTTTGGCCTAAGAAAACAGTTAAGTTTGCCTCAAAAATAATCACTAAAAGCATTTCAAAATAGATTTTGAGATCACCTTCTGATTATCTGTAACCACCAGGCCATGGCTAATTAGGGGTTTTGGTTATTGGTATAACTAATCAGAAAGTAGGTCTGTGGGTAGAGAGTCTAGGAGAAATAGTCATTCCTAGGTCAGAGAGAAATGATTTTTGAATCCAGAGTAGTTGGAGGTTATTCAAGTTACCAAACATTTAGTGATTAGTCTGTGTAACAGCATTATCTATATTGATTAAAAATGCTCCCTTCTTTTGAGCTGATCCTGTTACTGAAAGGGTAATCATAATTATTAAGTGGTTAAAGGATCAACATGGCTGAACCAATAGTCCTGGAAAACAAGCATCTGTTTCAGCATTGATTTGTTGCAAGTTTCTTACTCGGTTTTGAAAAACACAACAAAATTTTTCATTCAAGATTAGAAATGGCTAACACTGGTTCTCTTTGCATTTTCTATCATAAATATGAGGGGAAGAAAGGAGCTCAGCCAAAAAGCAAACCAGAAATCTCAAGACATTATGAAGGGGATTCAAGGGACTAGCTCTAATGGGAATGGTATTGTTAACTCTGAAAGAAATTCTTATTTTGGACCAGCAGAGTTAGCCTCTAGTAATGTTTTTTCTCTATCTTTTCCCTAGGGCTAGCTTGTCACCTCCAAAAGACATCAGTGACATACACAGCCATCTGGGACATGCCTGTGGCTTCCTAATACCACTTGGAGCCAGACCATATCCAAGTCAACCTCATCAGACAGGCCCCTAACGGACTAAAAATACACTCCCTGTGCTGCAATTAATTTAAGCTGTGCCCCTCTTTGTTAAAGTTGCTCGTGGGTGGGGGGGAGGGAAGTGGGGGCGGGGCAGCAAAAGTGAAAATTTAATTGTTTAGGCAACAGTTATAGTCACTCCCCAAAAGGCTGCATCATAAACCAAATATCCTCAGACCCAAGGTGCACATCTTAGAAATATGTCCAGCAATGTGTTTTGTAATGTTAAGAAACTTTTTTAAAAGAGAAAACCAGTGATCATTATCAAAAGAGAATAATGTTGTGTTTTTTATTTCTCATGCAAACTGATGGAGTTACAAACAGCAGAACACAGCCCATTACAGGGTAGAAACTCAAGTCTGAGGATATGAACCAACTTTTTTTTTTTCTCAACCTGTGATTTCACTGGTGCAGAAAATCCTTCCACAGAGGTAGCTCAGCAATTTGTGTATTTTATTATTAGAGTAATTTAGAGTAAATTTGTGCATTATTATTAGAGTAGCTAAGTGTGGTTAAGTGAATTATTATCTACGGTCATAAAGCTAGTATTTGTGAAGAGGCAGGACTTGAATCCAGGTCTTTCTGACTCTAAGGTCAGCCCTGTCTCCACTACATCACTCTGCCTCTGAATCAGTTCATACTAAAACATAATAGAAGGCTTAAATTAGCAATTGCTCCAGCAACATAATGTCTCCTTACACAGTCTTTCTACTGGTGTCTTTCCTCTCCATAGAAAGGTTGTTTTTTGGGGTTTTTTTTACCCCATATTCAGGCTGGCTTCTGGATACAATTATGTTATTAAATTATCTTTCTCCCTCAACCTTCTGTGAAAACAAAGATCAGGTATGAAACAAAAGAAAAGTGAAATCTTGATCCCCAAGAAGTCCAAAGCCTAATTACCATATTGATTAAGCAGCTGACTTTGCTGACTCTAGAAAAGTCAGGAATTCCCACACAGTGAGATGAAAATTAAATCATTTACAGAGCAGCTAACATGTGAAAATCAGTGTCACAATACCCATTTCTCCAGGACACGAAACCTATAAAAATAAACTATGTGTGAATTCTTGGTGTTTTCCTAACCTTGGCCAGGTTTCCAGGAATAACATTCCTCATTTTGAAATCAAGGTCCTGTCTCCTTTCTCTACTTTTGAAGTGCGATAAGCCAAAGGAATCTGACCCACGTACTATTTGCAAATGGCAAACATTTTATCACATCACTGCTCCTGACTCCATTCATCCCCAGGCCGTACTTGCTGACACAAATGTAGATCTCATGGCAAAAACCAATGAGACTCTCCCAAATGCAAATCAACCCTGAATTCCTTAAAAATGAGGAAGGTAGGACTTCAGGGAAAAATCTTGGATTTAATAGTGCTGAGTACAACAGCTATGTGCAACCATGGGCCTGTCTAGCTTTCAAGGCCAAAGTCTAATGGAGACACACTACACAGGGGAGTCCTAAAGTCTATGTGTAGATACAAATAAAGTTAAGTAGTTATTGAAACTGTTTTTTCTTATCTGAACGAAGTGATAAGCCAGACACAGGTCTGAAGTACAAAGGTTACATTCAAAGGCAGTTTTAAAGTGCTTTACCAAGATACATAAGCCTTCTAACATTCAAATTTTTTTTTTCCACTTGGAAGGGTAGCTCAAGAGGTCTTACGTTGTGCTGAGAATTCACTATAAGAAAAAATCAATAATTGGTCTAGCTGTTCTAATCCTTAGCATAGAGGTATAGAAAGAAAACATGTACATGCAGCTTTCATAATGCTACAGCTCTGATACAAAGCTACTCATTCTAAATGTCATGAGCTTTGTTCTGCTAGTCTGAAAATGAGGTAAATAAAATGGATGCAATACTTCTCCCTTAGTTTGTCACAGATAGGTTTGGTAATACAGGATGAAGCTAGTGAGGGGAACAAAGAAGACTACCACTAGGATATCTGGGAAGCTTTTGCTTCTATCAGCCTTTAAATAGCCAGGTGTGTTGGTTCTTTCTGGGAGTGGGCTACAGGTGAATCTGCTACCTGGCACTAGCTAGCTAGCATTTACTCCAAGTAACAAATAGCATCATAGATGGTATTCCCACTGGTGAGAGCTATCTGCTTGGCAATATGTAAAAAAGGAGGAAAGAAACTCCACCATGGAGGAAGTTGATTTTGCACATCATTGTAAAGCTATTTCCCAGATTACGATCTGGAGAAGATGTGGAGAGATGATAGAGATATGAAAGCCATAAAGCACAAATCTCAATCACTCATGGAAAGGGCTCCTGACTCATCATTAATTCCAGTTATGTAATTTCTCATCAAAGTGAGAGTATGGTTCCTTGCAGTAGCTTTGAAATAAGGTACTACTGTTAAATATAACTGAAAACTCTTGCAATTGCTTTACACTAAAGTTAAGACTAGATTACGGTCCATGAGCACAAAACTGCATTTTACAAAACTCAAGAGAAAGATCTTTTTTTTTTTCACTTTATTAAACAGAACTCCCCCTGTCAACAACATAAAGCTCAGTTATACAAATTTTTTTTTTAAAAACATCTTAATTCACCTGTCCTAGAATGGCTCTGGCAACACAAAGACAACACTAAACAAGTGCACAAATCATGATTTCAGGGGGGGCAAATATACAAAAAGAAATGCCAAGCCAATTGAAACTTTCATCCTCCCTGAAAGTGCTCTCCTTAAAGAGAAGCAGAGTCAATGCTGCCGCTTAGTGGCCAGCTGAACAAATCAATGATACTGGCCAAGGGGGGTTCTACCTGGCATTTCCCCGTCTAACAGACCACCCAACTTCTCATGGTAAAACAGCAACATATTTGAAACACCCTAGCTTCCAAAGCCCATCCAAACAACAGCAACTGGAATTTGGCCAGTGTAAGAGAGAGACTACTTCAAATAAAACTTTTCCCTGCTCAATTTAAGATCTTCTGTCCCAGTTCTCTGGGCTTGGTGGGGGTGAGATGAGAGACATGGACATATCCACAAGGTCCATCTGTTTAGAGAGTATATACAGTAATCCTGATGTCTGTGCCCTCAAACACCTCTTCGATCATTGCAGACACTTTCTCCCACTGTAGCCGATCAAGACCACATCCAATCCTGGAAGAAACAAAAACATTCTCGTTGGATGGAAATGAGGCACTCAGACAACGTCTCCTGGGCACCCCCCTTCCCAGTTTCCATGAAGGTTTTTTGCACAGCAAATAGACAAAGAAAAAGGTTTTGCTTGGTGGCTAATTTCACAGTGATTGGCTTTGTTTTAGGTCAAGAATTATACAGTTCATGCTACCATGAATCACCTAAGGCTAGCCCTGGTCAGCCCCAAAGGCGAATAGCAATTTATATCTCTTTTCCCAGTAGAACACTGCATCTCAATCTTCTATTTCAAAGCAAACTTTCAGAAAAGTCTAAAATTTTCACAGCACACTCCAGAAAATTAAGGAGGGTGAGGAAAAGAGACTTTCTCTATACCTTCTAATGAAAACTGCCTGGCAGTGAGAGGGAGTGTAAGGCTTCTAAAATAACATTTCCTATGACAATGGATTCCAAACGAAGGTATAAGAAAAAGAAGGAAGAGAGCATGGACTGGGCGCATGGGTGTGGAAACTTCGACCATACGTGGCCCTCTAGGTCCTCAAGTGCTGCCCTTTGACCGAATCAAAGACAAATTGCCTTAATAAAGGGATTTGTTCTATGGAGTTTGGATTCAGTCAAAGGGCCACACTTGAGGACCTAGAGTGTCACATGTGTCCTTGAGGCTGTAGGTTCCCCACCCCTGGATGAGGATCTCTTTAGGTACAAAGTTTATTGGCCTAAAATATATTAACATCTTTGTGGAAGTCACATTTCTTTGCATAATCTATGCAGAGCACTTGGTTCCTGCCTTGAAAACATTACTAGTTCAATTTATACTCAGCCCACAATGTTGTGTAGGGGAAAAAACACTGGGTTTATGGTCAGAAACCTGGGTTCTGGTAGTTACTACTCTAAGCCTTAGTTTCATCTATGAAATGGGTAAAATCTTCTATTACCTCCTTCACAAAGCAGGTAAGAGGAAAGCACTCTGCAAAGCTTCAAAGTGCTATCAAAATGTTATATTATTATTAAGTCAACAGCTTCAGCACAAGTGGCTGGGTAAGTCAGAAAAGGATATTATTCCCTGAGGAGACATATGCATTTGTTTACAAACCATACCCCCTGACATTTTCCTGATACCTTCCTTCCATTTGAAGGCAAGCTTTCTCTACTTTATTGATTCTTATCAACCCTGGAGGCAGGTAGAGACCTGGCATCAATGCCATTTTGCAAAAGGAGAAAAGTGCTAAGGGCTTAATTCAGCCCAGGCCTTTGAGTAACAAGACCAAACTACTACTAGAAGAAAAAACAAAGAGATAATTACTCTAGTCAGGTTCCCAAGTGATAAGAGCAAGGGAAATAAATTGGCACTTCCTAACAGATGGAAAGAATTTAAAGGAAGCAGTATACTAGAACCCTAATGTGACCCCCATAGGCCCACTTGCACCATAACAGCTATAGAATCAAAGCTCCAGATGCCAATGAATTTCCAAACTGAGATTACAATGGCCTATCTTCTAGTTATTAACTCTGACAGTTCAACTTTCCATATAAAGGGAAGTGATCATTTTTACCACTTTTGTGCCACATGCTTAACACCTTTAGGGGACCTTGATGGGACATGAAAAAGTCCAAACAGCCCAGATTTGGTTCTTAAGCTCATATGACTTCAGGAGTTGAAGCCTCCAACCTTAAAATGTTGTGTAAGAAGTTGATATTTGACTAATAAAACTGAATTGTTCCACTTTCATCACGTAGTAAGGATAGAGTCCTTTTTCAGCACCATTATGCAGGGACAGGGAGTGGATGTCTAACTCTGCAAATTTATAGTTTTGAGAGTTGCCTAGTGCACTGAGAAGCTAAGTGACTTTCCCGGTATCACACAGGCAGCATATGTGCCAGAGGTCAGACTTAAACCCAGGTTGTCTTGGCTTTGAGGCCTGCTTCATTTTCACTAAGTCTCAATGCTTCTCTAAGTTATCCACTATCATGAATAAACACTCTGATTATTCAGTGTGAATAAGCTGGGATGGAAATGGCTTCAACCCAAATTTTCACTTCTTATTTGAAGACTGAAAATAAGAAAATCAATATTTAAGCCCATAATTATGTGGAAAATTAGACCATTTACACTATAACACTGCAGGTAATACGGTACATTAATATCCTTTATGTTGCCAAATTAATGAAATTTTAATTCCAGACCCTAGAATTTCTTACCTAGGCATGGAGAGGTCAGTCACCCCATTTTTCAGACAATGGGTTTTCATGGCCTCTAGACTCTTTTGCAAGTTTTCATAAGTTGGCTTGTGAGAAGCCCTCTTCTTTGTAATCTGAGCACAAAGGGAAGATTTAGGTTCTTATTAGACAAAATGATATGGAGTCAAAGATCAATATCATATTATAATCACCTGGCAATAAAATGTTGATTTTACCTGAATCATCTGTCAGGTACAATAGGTCTGTATGATATTCTTCTGAGCTGGTCTTTTTTTATATGTGTGGTTTAAAAAACTTAACAAAATTATTATATGTAAGATTCTATTAGCCAGAATGTTAACTTTTCCATTACATCAATTAGAAAATTTCCCCTCTAAAAAGCCCACCAGGAATTATGTTTCTAATCAACCTTAAAAGCACACTAAGAGGCTAATTTTCTCTTACCAGGTAGTATACATATCTTTCATCTCTCTTTAGCACTGCTACTTCTCCAGATTTCTTTTCTTTAAGGAAAAAAAAAAGGACAAGTATTCAATATAGGAAGAAAAAAGAAAACTTAAACACTTAAGTTCATTAATATATTAGTTCTCTTTCTAGAAATGAGTTAGAAAAGCTTTCTAACTAAAAATGGGAATGCTAAGTAGAATTCTATCCCTTCTACATTCTGTGAACAAACATCAAGGTGTTCTCCTCCTAATCTCCTTAATATCCTGTCCTTCTCCCCTTCCACTGTTATCCACTTTACTCTAGCCCCACTCTATTATCAATTTGCCAATACCTGATTCACACCTTACCCTGCCTCTTTAACTGTTTATAAATCCAAGTTTCAAAATAACAAGACCAAAAAACTTAATAAATCTTTCAGTTCAAAAACCTACCTATGTTATATCTGTATATTTTTCATTTCTCAAAACATTATCCTTTATCAGCCACATTTACTCATTCAACAAGTAACTGCCAAGTGTCTACAATAGTCAAGGCACTAAGTACTTTAGACACTATAAAGGGATACAATGATGTACTTATATAAAATCTTCCACCCTCCAGGAGTTTAAATAGACTTGTTATGACTTAGTCTTATTATAATAAACAATAAATTAAATAGACTTGTTATAACAGATATATTAGGGAAAATGACGTGCACATGCCAAAAGTGTAGTTATGCTAAGTTCTACAGATAAAAATGCTATAGATCAAGGGACAGAAAGATCACTTTTGGCTAGGAAAGTTTCACAGAAAGGCTGGGATGTGAGCTGGGCCTTGAAAGACAAGAAGGATTTCACCAGGCAAAGGCATGAGGAAGGATGCAGCATTAGAAAAATGCAAGGCTGGTTCAATGAACACAAAATAGAGCTTTATGGTCAAGTAAGAGTTTTTCCAGGAAAGGAATAGAACATGCAGTTAATGGCCAGCTATGGAGTACAATAGACCTAGTTTCAAGGCCTGCTTCTAACACACACTGGTTACATGGCTATGAATGAGTTTATTTAGCTGCTTATTATCCCCAAACAATACTCAGAGTATGTAAAGCTAGTGGGGGCTAGAGTGTAGAAAGCCTTGAACACATAGATTTTGTATGGTAGGCAAATGGAAACTACTTAAAAGTTGTTGCATATGCAACTAATGAAGGGAGAGACTAGGTAAAGATACACTTGAAAAGCTATTACAATAGCATAACTAAGGTGGCAGTATTCAAAATAAAAGGATGTATGGGAGTCTGGAGGGCTGTCAATGACTATCTTCTAAACTCCTAGTGAGGAACAACATCCTTGTGATCACATTCTGGACATAGACTTGCCCATAGTAGTTCAACTAATGTTTCTAGTTAACTGAAACCACAAGGTAAAGCCTAAACTCTATACAAACTCACGTTGATTCAAAAGCTCCTGCACCCCTCCAAACTTCTTTTTGAAGAGAACAGCTATCCCAGCACCCATTCGACAATCCTCACTGATGCAGTGGGCCAATGAGTCTGTTTGGGGGCATGCAAAAAGGTCCCCTTTCACATACACAATCTGGAACAAACAAGGAGGTGAAGTGAGAGAAAACAGTTTAACAGATACGCAGAAATGCTTTGCTGTTTCTTTTGGCCACTTTCTCCCTCTTCCAGGGAGCAACTTTATTCTTACTGGAATCAAACATAATCTTTCACAGAGAAAATCCCAAGAGACTAATTCAAAGAGCTGAATGTGAACTGAATCATGAATAAGATGGAAGTGATGATCCCTGCCTAAGATTGCATTAGCCTCTTTGGAGTAAATAAGCTAAGAAAAGATAATTCAGTTATGTTGCTTAATTTAAAACAGTGCTTAATGCCTATAACCTCAATTATTCTGGATTTTTATTTGCCAATAAGTCAACAATTTTTTACGCACTCTGTTCTCTCCTGGATCTTCATCAGGGCTGCTGGCCATGATAAGGAGCTGCTATTTCCAAGACTTAACAGTATTTTTTCTGCTAGAAGAATGAAAAAGAAAACCAGTTTGCTTCGGGTTAAGCACACACATTCCCTGACCTGGCTCTCCCTGTTTACTACATCTAAACTCTTTCACTATTCTCATGCCAAAGTGGCCCCCCCCCAAAAAAAATCCAATGCAAAAACTGGAGATGCAGACAACCGTTGACCCCATCCCAGCTCCCCAACAGCACCCTCTTCCCATTCATTCCCTCTAGCTTGGGGCAAGTTTGGCCCTTCCTTTATTCGACCCCGACTCCAAGACCCAGCTCAAATCCCCTTCAAGCAAGGCCCTTCTTTGGGCCTCAGTTTCTTCAAATGCAAAATGAGGGGCGTAAAAAAGGCCCCTTCCAGCTCCCATTCTACGTTTCTGGCTCCTCTCCACAATCACACATGATGGAGGTTTCAGAGATCTTCAAGGGCTGGTTGCTTAACCGTTTTTTGTTTGTGCCAAGGCCCCCATGGGCAATCTGGTGGAGTCTCTGGACCCTTCCTCAAAATGTTTCTAAATGCACAGAATTACAAAGCGAACCAAGTATATTGAAATAAAGACGTAATTGGCTTTTTCCCCCCATCCAAATTCAAAGACCCCCTGAAATTTATCCACGGACATCGGGTTAAGAACCTCAGAAAGAATAGCCCAGGCCTCGGAAGGAGCTTAAGGTTCCACCAAAGGCCCGGGGACAGGGAGCGGGACTGCTTGACCCCTCCAGTAGGGTTCTTTGTTTTCCTCGTGCCCCCGCCCTCTTCCCGCGGCTTCCCCTCCCCCCCGGCCCGAGGGGAGGAGTGTGCAGTCTAGCTCCTCCCTGGCTCCCGCTCCGGGGGACCACCGGAGGAGCCCGACAGAAGCCTTTCATGCGACGCCCGGCCCGAGCCCAGAGACAGACGAACTGACGCCCCGCCCCCTCCCCACCTAACCCGGGGTCGCCGCGGGGGAGGGGTGTCTGCGGTCCCAACATACCCGGGGTCCCGGGAACAGGCCAGCTGCCGGGAAACCCAGGCCTCGGCCCCAGAAGGCAGCTGCTTCCGATTCAGCCCGGGTGCTCGTGACCGAGCCAAATCGGACTCGCGGCTGCCCCCACAGGGACCCAAAATGGCCTCCCACGATCCGCCGGGGGAGCGGAAACGGGGCACCTCTAGCCAGACCGGAGGGAGGGCTGCGCTCTATGGTGGCGCCCCTTCGAGAACTTCCGGCGGCAAATTTCTCCCGCCGCCAGGCTAAGCATGCGTAATGCGAAGAATGGGAACATGCGCGGGACGAATAGGCGCTTGCGCGCCAAGCACGGGGGTGTGTTTTCAAAGATGAGTGGCGGACATTGGGGGAGACGGACGGAAAGGGCCGGTGAACGCTTGCGCAGTAGCATCTCCAAGGTGGTGCTTGAGTTGAAAGGGTGGGTCAATATGGCCTAGAGGAGCCTTCGCGTTCTTCCGGAGGTGGGGGGGTGGGGCCTAGGCTGGGTCTCGGGGACGCGTGCGCGGTACGCACCCAGCGCGGGGCGGGGAGAGCCCGCAGGTGGGATGGGGGGTGGGGGCGGGGAGAGGGGCGTGACTTACAGGCGCATGCGCCGAGGAGGTTGGAGGGGGGGCCCGGGGCTCCTTTGTTCGCGTTCGCCATTTTGCCAGGCAGCGGCAGTGGCGGCGGCAGCGGCGGCTGGAGCCTCTGATTGGGTTTCGGGGTCCGGTACTGGAGCCAATCAGCGCGGGCAGCGAACCGGGGGAGCGAGGCACGGTGAGTGTGAGGAGCCAATATCCAGCGGCCCAGAGCCGGCCCCAGCGCCCCGATTGGCGGGTCTCGCTGACCACTCAGGAGAGGCCCAGGCACCCGCCGAGCCCGGGGAGCGGGGTGGGTGGCGGCGGCGGCGGCGGCAGCAGCGGAGCCTGTGGGGCGGGCCTGTCTGGAACCGGGCCTTGGCGTGGTGTGGCTGTACCGGGGACTTCCCGCCACTCCCGGCCGAGGCCTGCAGGGGGCCGCCCCGCCCGTGTGGGGATGGCTGGGGCCTCTTCGGGCGCGGCACCTTGACCCAGGGGTCCCGACGTCCCAGATGGGGCCCGGATTCCCCATTCGGCCACGGCTCCAGGCGCCAACCCCCAACCTCCCTGGGGCTTGGGCACCACCTCCTTGGGCCCGCAGGCTCCAGGGGCTGTGGTGGACGGGTCTCCAGTTAATGCCACCCCTCCAGACCCTTGCCGACCTTACTGACCACCCAGCACCCCTTTCTTGCTCCCCTCCGTGGTCTCCGTCTGGACGTGCCCTTTGTACGTTTGTGTGTATGTGTGCACGCACTCACACTCATTCGTTCTCCTCTCCACCCTACTCAATCATCTGGACCCTGAAATCCCGCCTGCTTCGTCTCCCTCCTCCCCGTTCTCTGTGAGTGGGGTCTGCTTAGACCCTTGACCAGTCCCCCTTTCACAACCCAGGACGGGCAGTCTGGCAAACCTGGTACAAAAGCCCCCTGCCGTGGTCTCCCCCTCCCCCCATACGCTCCTTCTTGGTTCCTCTACTGTCTGACTTCCCTTGTCCGCTTGGTTCCTGGATCCGGGAGGCCGGTGGCCTCCCCTCCACTTCTCCCACCCCCCACTCCCCTGGCCTGACCATGCCCCTCCTTCCAGCCAACATTCCCTGTGTCTCTTGTCCCGTTACCGTTACCACCCCCTTTTGGCTCGTCATTTCCTCTTCTCTCGTTGCTGGGGCAGAACATCAGCCCCCTCCAGACGTGGTGCCAAACCAAGCTGCCTCCTTTTCCCAGGCTGCATGTCCATTTGGCTCCTGAAAGCTCCCTGTACCAATTTGTTCTCCTCTCAGAAAGAGTGACTGCAGGAGGCCTCTTTCAAAACATGGAGTTAATTTTCCCCTACCACCATCTTCTTTCTTACCTGACTTATGGCAGCCAGGACCTCAGGTTCCTTCTCTTGATTTATTTTTCTCCTATTGTATATAGTGTGTAGTTAGGTCCCTATTTATAAAATGTTTTGCATTTTAAGTTTGTTTTAAAAAAAAACATTTTTATGTGTTTGTCTTCATGTTTAGGACCAAGCTTCTTTTTCTTAAAAAAAAATGAGAGGGTCCTTTCAACTTTAAATCCTATGGTTCTGGCTGCAGTAAAGTTGTAGCAAGTGGTGACTTTTCGGTAGAGTTGTACAGTACTTGGATTCAAGTGAAGTGTGTGCGTGTATTACAAGATTAAGTCAAGTTAAGAAGTACTTAATTAAATACCTAGTAGGTGCTAAGCACTGTATTAGGAATGCCCCTAAGACAAAAACAGTCCCCTCAAGGAATTTAAAATCTAATGAGGACAACTTGCAAACAATTACCTACAAACAAGGTGTACATTGGATAAATTGGAGACAATCTTGAGTAGGCACTGGCATTGACCAAGACTGGGAAAGGCATTTTGCAGAAAGTGGAATTTTAGCTGTAACTTGAAAGAACCCTGGAGGCAGAGATGAGAAAGGTGAGAATTCTAGGTATGGAGAGAGATAAAATGGAGAGTTGGGAAATAAGAGTGTCATGTTAGAGGAATGGCGAGGAGGCCATTGTCACTGGATGGAAATACTCAGAAAGGAGGAAAGTAAAAGAAGACTGGAAAAGTAGGAAGGTTATGAAGAGCTTTAAAAGCCAAACAGGATTTTTTTATTTGATCCTGGGGGTAATATGGATCCACTGGAATTTATTAAATGAGGAAAGGGTTGACATAGTCAGAGGTGGACAGAAAAATCACTCAACTTTCTAAGAGGTTCTGCTTATTATTACTAGAGTTGATTTCTTTTGTACATAAAAGGAGATTTTTGTCCCAACTCTTTTTCTTGGTCCTAGCTGTTAAGTAAGGAACCCTCAAAGAACTTTTTCCCCCTCTGCTTTGCTTCTTAGAATTCAGTTTTCTTTGATAAAAGTAATGATGAGTTCTTAGTTATACACATTATTGAATAGAGTTTGATGGTATGGATAATTAAAAAAATAACATTTGCCTTTGGAATATGTTTTTGCATATCTTTAAAAAAAGAAGTATCTCATGTTTGTAAATTCCCTTCACAAAATTGAAAGCTACACTCGAAAATCCAACATAGGGAAGCTATCTCAAGCTTGCTCTTTCTGCTCTCTGCTGGAGAGTGCACATGTGTTTTATCTGTGTGAGTGTGCACTGAAATTTGGAATGCTTAAAAGTTTCATTCTTGGAATTGTATCCTGAAAATACACATTGTGTTCACTGGAGGATCTTTGAATTTTGGGCTTTGCAATTTTTATGGGATACTTTAGGAAAATAGTTTTTTACATAAACTTTATTTTCTTGTGTGAATGTAAGACTTAGATTTTACGTTAATCATAGGGTGGGATAAAAGCCAAAAAGGCATACTATGCTGTCATAATTGACCATTCAGTGGAGAAGAAGGATATTTTTGAGGCATAACTGTGTTAATGAAATTGTCATTTGGCCATCTGAAGGCAAGAATAGTAGAGTTGAATTGTGCTTTATTGAACATCAGGGTCACATGCAATTGAGCTCTTCAGAGGCAGTCTAGAGAAATGTATAGAACATGCCTGGACTTGGAGTGGGTAACCTTTGGGTGTGTCTCCTGAGGCTGTATATAGTCTGGTTGGCTATATAACCCCGAACCTCAATTTTTTCATGTGTAAAATGGGAACAATAGCACCTACCTTTGAGGGTTATAAGGATCAAATGAGCTGTGTGTGTGTTCGTATGTATGTATGAACGTACACGTGTCTCTAATGTGAGCTGCAGTCATATATGCAATTTCAGTAGAAGGGCCTTTTTTACGCCCCTCATTTTGCACTGGAAGAAACTGAGGCCCAAAGAAGGGCCTTGCTTGAAGGGGATTTGAGCTGGGTCTTGGAGTCCGGGTCGAAAATGTAGAAAGTTGAATCAACGTGAGCTTGTATAGAGTTTAGGCTTTACCTTGTGGTTTCAGTTAACTAGAAATCAAAGATACATTCAGTATTTAAATGCATTTCCTTCCATTCATTGAAATCCCATGCAAACTCCAGAACCCTCTAGATTTTGATTAGGTAGTCCTTTCCTACTTAAAAACATTTAATGGCTATTTGAATAATATTGAATTTGATCTCAGGCCTATGTAATCTACCCACTTGATTAAAATAGTGTATATGTACCATAACATTGAATGAAAACAGGCCTTACAAATGTGCCACCTGCCTTGAAATTATTTTAAAAACTGTTGTAGAAATATAGGCTTATTGTAATTACAATCCAACTGTATAGTAATTTAGCCTTGTAATTTTAGTGCTAAATTATATGCATAAGTCATATATTATTATAGTGATCTATATATCTATTGACTATAATCCTCTAGTAACATTTCTTTCTTAACCTTTCTAATAGGAGCACACTCTTAGCCATATCCCAGGATATCCAGTGGGAGGTTGTCATATACGGAATTGCAACCTAAATGAGACATGGAACAGTATACAGCAAACAGCAATAGTTCTACAGAACAGATTGTCGTGCAGGCTGGACAGATTCAGCAGCAGGTATGAAAATGATTCAGCTTTGAGTACTAAAGTAACAGAATTGGCTATAGTATTAATAGGGACTGCTGTAATACCGTTGAAAAATTATCATGTTCTGGGTTTGGTGAGATGCAAAGGTCTAGAAATTTGCCTGGTAAGATTTCCTTCTATTTGGACTCAGTATCTCAAACTGTGTATTCAGGTTTCTTTGCAACTTGTATTCTATCCACAGCCCACTGGAATTGTTTGTTCATGTTACCTGAACAGCCTGCCTTCTTATTAATTAACCTGACAAATTTATTTCCTGACAAATTATTAAAGTTCAAAATGTCAGGCTACTTTCATGTTGAACTTTGGAATGGTTAAGTTTGTCTTCATGTGAATATATTGAACTGATTCTGTTCTGTTTCTTTTCCTGATGGAATTGATGTATGGACACCTTGGCTTTCTACAGTAGATGAAAACAAAACACTTAGATTCAAGTAGATCTGCTTTGAACTGGTCCACAAGATGATTATTTTGGAAAGTTAATATCTAGTTCAGCATTAGGATAATATTTAGACAGCTGCACTTGCAAGTATAGATGCATTGGAAAAGGATTTAGAGCTGCTGGTTTTTAAATTAATCCCAAATCCAGGTAG